AGCTTAGATCTGCTTACAGGAATTTACCTGTTTAGTGTCTCTTAAACCCTTCAAGCACTCTGAACCTTTTCATAACAAGAGGTTTGAGGTGGGTTATGGACAAGTTGTGGGTTCACTGCCTGTTCACGGTCACAGATGTGGGTTTGCAGCTGCTTGCAAGAAGATTTACTTATGTCAACATTAGCTTTCATGGATCAATACTGACACTTTGTCCCCGTTTTACTGTAATTTAGGAAAACAACACTTGACATTTCTGGGCTCCTGCAGGCATTTAGTAATACTTGGTTTGTATTCCTAAATTTGCTCAGGTTAAACATGTTTCATGCAGATTGCATATAAAAAAGTATTATGTAATGTATATTATTTTCACTTTGCCCAGAAAAATGCAAGATGACTACACACTATTGCACTGCATTGCTAAAACTTTAGTAGCAGACAAAATTTGACTAATTTGGATGGTGTCTGTTAGCTTAACTCTCCTCATCCAACATATGTACTTCCTGCAAAGGATGAGGAGAGCCAACCTGCCCCCACCCATCTTCAAGACCTTCTACAGATCTACCGCTGGTCAGAACGCTCTCTATGGTGCTTCTGTAGAAGGTCTTGAAGATGGAAGAAGCTGAGAAGGGTGGGGTGAACAGCAGATAAGATCATCTGTGCTCTTCTTTGCTCCATAAAAGACATTGCATCCCAACACTGCATGTCCCGAGCCCGTAACATTATCAATGACCCATCACACCCCCACCAAGGACTGTTCTCCCTGCTGCCCTCTTGGAAGAGGCTTCGAAGCATCCGATGCAATGCAGAACCAGCAGATTCTGAAACAGCTTCTTCCACACTGCAATCAGCCAGATTTATTGTTGAAAAAAACTCCAAATCATGTCACAGACTGCATCAAACTGACAACACCCAATACAAATGCACATAATTGCACCATATATGCTATAATAATGCGCTGAACTTCCATATCAATGTATCATTTTGCACCAATATTTTTTTCTCCCACACTGTTTACATTCGATCTATGCTGCACCTTAAGAAATAGAAATGTCATGAGAACAGTACAAAAAATCGCTAATGTAGGTTTGCGACCAATTATGGAGGGGGAGTGGTGGCCTAGTGGTTGCGATTGGGTCTCAGAGGTTCTCAGTTCAAGTCCCACACATTCCCATTGAGCCATCCCATTAGTGCTCACGAAGGGAATGGGTTAAATGCAGAAAGTTAATATCACTGTGTGGTACTTGTGACAGGGTAATGACAATAACAGTTTTTAAAAAAGATAAGAAGTGTAATATGTCACAGATGCCTGTAATACACAGTTCCATACCAAGTCTCACAAAAGTTTAAATTCTAACATTATGGTTAGAATTTAAACTTAATGAAAGCAACTACACATAGAGCAAAAGTGTTTAAATAATGATCAAATACATTGAAATAACTGAAGTAACTGGATCAACACTAATAATGCAAGAATTATGTTTGACATAAAAAGTCACTTTTACTTCTTGTAGGAATATTCTCACATGTTTTGGGCCTCAGAGAAATTGCTGCTGTCTGCAGAGTAGTTGCTGTAGCAGCTTCACAATCAGAAGCTTTCATTGTTTATTTAATTAAAGTCAATTAAACCATTGATGCAAGATGTAGGCAGGACCCCCTAAGCTTCTCGTCTGCTGCTGTCACAGTTACATAAGCACGAACTTCAGTCACCCACACTGCACTAATATTTCACCACATCCTTACGGGGAAATGCTTTCAAAAGCACAGATATGACAGAGAAGAAGTAAATCCCTGGCCTAACACCATCAGTCAGGTTAGGGAAATTTTCAACTCTTCACAGTGGTGCAAAACAAGCAGATCATGATTCAATACAGAAACAATACTGACACATTAGAAAGCAGAATCCCAAGCATCAGTCCTCCATAATGCAACCATCTACAGGAGACTGACTTGGGATTGAATATGAAATATATTGTTATTCTAATTTTGTGGAGTTGATTATCATTTTTTAATATTCTGTAGTATAAGTCATTATAAATGGGCAGTTTAAGGGTAAATCATATTTCAAGACTAATATTTGAAAACTAGCAATATGCAAACAAATATTGCCACATTTTTCAAACATTTCCCAGATTGAAAACGTTTGTTGCATCTTTGGTATATTTTATTTTTATTTTTAAGGAATTACTATTTAGTATTAAAAAAATGAGTTTGATGTACTGGAGAATGTAGTATGTACAGTTTACTGCTTGTCTGTGGCTCATAGAATAGCTGCTTAACACAATTTAGTACTAACAATATTTAATATCTAGTATGTATTTCAAGAGTTCTACATTTCAAATTATTCCATAGACCACCTAGTTCTCGTGGTAACGCCATATGTTAGATCAGGCAGTGTCTCCCATCTGAGTCAGAGGGACATCAGACAGAGGACTAGGACAAAAAGGTGTCAATCTTATGCTAATGTAAGCATGTTGACTTGCTCAGGTTGCAGGGAGGTATAATTAATTTTAACCAACACACTGGGCCAAGTATGTTTGCTCCATAAAGTTTATGATCCACTATGAATCAAAGCGGCATAATATTAAGACCACTTGTGAGTGAACACTAATGCAGGCAGGCATCCAGAAGAAAATATTTTAATAAATAAGAAAAAACGAAAGGTAACAAAGTAGGCTTGGGGAGAACAATGCATAGACTAGGAGCAAAAACCTGCACGGTCAAGAGTAACTTTTTCTTGAACAGTATTATCTTGCAAGAGAAATGAGAAATGTGGTAAACAGCAAGTGAACAGATGGAAACTGCTTAGGAGTATAAGAAAGCTACAGTGTCTAACAGTGAATAAACAGAAAAAATCTGAGATAGACAGAGAACATGAAATAAAAAGTTTACTAAGGAATAATACAAAAATGGAAGATTCCAAACAATGATGAGCACAACGAAGGAAACTTACGGTCAATTCCAACTAGTTAAGTCCCAGGTCTCCTGTTTAGTCCAGAACAAAAGTGGACAATTGTATTTTTTTAAAGTAGACTATGGCTCAAAACAAAGCCGTGTGTGTGAAGAACATTTCTCCAATCGGTCAAAAATGACTATGGCAGAGCATATTGCATGAAAAATAAATAAATAACTAGAAAACAACTGGGACAATCCACACGAAGCATCTCTGTTTTGCATTTTATGCTTTACAACTAAAATATGATTGAGTTTCAAGTGCATCTCAATGAATGTGCATTTTAGGAATTTTTATTGTATGTTTGAAGGCAGAGAATGCTTCCTTTAAGCCGAAGAAGGTCAGATTGCTAGTAGCAGCATTGAAGTAACAGACAGTGGATAGGTATGATTCCGGTACTGCTTACACATTTATACTTTATACATTAACCCTTTAAAGCCTGAACCAGGAAATAATTGACAGAAGATTCAAATTTTCCAAAATTAGAATTGTCATTGAACTTTGTGACAAATGAAATAACTACATAAATTTTGTAAAAACATTAAATTACATCATTTATTTGCATCAATTTTGATATATTACACATTTCTACATAATCCTTTATATGTTTTCTGTTCACTACATGTGTCTGATTATGTAAGTCAGGGTTTCAAGAACCAAAACATCCCACTGATGATGCAGAGGCTTAAAAATCTCCTGTATCAAATATGATACACTTGGCTTTAAATGGTTAGGTTAATTTATACCTGAAGTCAACTGCACCAGTGTTTATTTGGAAGCAGACCAAGACCACCTCAAAGCGTTGGTGTGAATCTGGTTTATTTGTCTGAACCAGAATTTATTGGTCTTTATTTATATCTGCACAAAAGGTCTAGACCAAGGAAGCAAACTCTGGTCCATATACGGTAGAACAAATGAAGCTACCTGACTCTGCCAGATGGATTTGCTCCGCATATGCATCTGGAAACCTTCCGTTTAAGTAATTTTGGGAAGGGGCGAAAATACTGATTAGCTGATTGGCCTATGTTGGTGATAGACGGGCCAAATAAACCAATCAGATCAAAGAAGCATATGACGTACTAACAGAGTAACGACGAAAACACAACCACAAGCCAGGCTACTCTTGCTGAAACCAGTCGGGAGAAGAGCAAAAACATCTTTTCCTCTGAGAAAAGCCTCCAGAGCAGTGTTTTGCTCTTCTTTCAGTGAAGAAATACCCTGTAGTTACGATAAAACTTGCTCGATAGCCACGCTAACGCTAGTTTCATCGGCTGAAGCCGCCATGTTCTTTAGACTGAACTGTCGCGCTTCTCGTTGCGTCACACCTCAACCCGCCTCAAAGCCAACGCTTATTGGACATTCGTTTGGTGAACGACATAAAATTTTCTTTAACGGAGAGTCTCCAGATTGATCTGCGAGTGAAACCTTGAAAGCTCGCAAGATCAGGATGGTCTCTCGAGGCTACCTAAATACACCTTAAAAGAGCAAAATTTAAAGAGTACACTAACTGACAACGAATAAGTCTAAATAAATGCATACACAAAAAAAAAATCTTCAAATCAAAGAAACAAATCCTTTCTCCCTCACTGACAGGTGCAATTATAAAGACACACAGATAGGCTGCTATTACTCCACCTATTAGTGATAACTGGGTTTTGCTTGATTGGTGTTTGCATTATGGTTACAATTTAAACTGAATGCAAAACAACTAGAAATAGAGCAAAAGTATTTAAATACTTATCAAGTACAATAAAATAACTGAAGTAGCTGAATCAACACTACTAATGCAAGAATTATGTTTGACATAAAAAGTCACTTTTGCCTCATGTAGGAATATTCTCACGTTTTGGGCCTGAGAGAAATTGCTGCTGTCTGCAGAATAGTTACTGTAGCAGCTTCACAATCAGAAGCTTTCATCACAAAGCCAGAATAATGCAGCTACAGAAAAATGTCCATCCAAAGGTAATACAGAATCCAGTCTTGCTTATTTGAGTAGAAAATAACATTAATTACATTTTTGAATTGAAATCATGTGTGTAACATGTCTTACCATTTGTTGCCTGCTGGTCCACCCCCATTACGTCCTGTTCACCCCTTCGCCTGCATTGGCCTAAACCATGGATGAGCTGCTGCAGGGGTAACTCAGCGTCCATGCTGGGGTAGCACCTCAGGCCGGTGGAGCACCTTGGTGTGTAGACCCCACAAAGTTCCCCCTCCTGCCGGGCACACACAGGGCAGCAGCCACAGCCAGGCTCCCTCACAATCTCTGGACACCAAGGGACCTCAGGACATGCATCCAAGTTTTCTGCAGTGCAGACTGGGCATCTGAACGCCAAATCCCCAAGAATGAGTCCTGGCAAGGCCGAGAAAACAAACAGGAAGCCGTACACTAAATGGACAGTCATGGTAGCGTCTCCTTGGTTTACAACTGGGGCTGAATTGACCCTTGGAAGTTGTCCGCATGGACATGGATCCTCTATCAGCCACCTCTGTTGGGTAAACACACTGACAGGGTCCTACCTGCTGTCATATTACTGACTGACGGACACTTTTCAGAGTTTTTGATTAAGCCATTATTGTAATGGAAAATCTAAATTTTGTAAAGGTTTCCCATCAGTTAAAGTGAGCCCTAAATTAGGAAATGATCTTGGGATTATTGATGACACCATAAAAAAAAAACAGTCTGCTCTTTGTATTTTTCTTTCAAACAGCCAGTGTTGTGTTTGTGATTCATTGGCACTTATATTGCATAAAAGGAGACTGAATAATGTGCGGAACATATTAAGTTGATAGAGTAACAAACCTATAAGGAGAACCAGGACTACTGGGAAATCAGTAAGACCAGAGACCACAGTCTGAACCCGAGAGGAGTGACTGAAAACTGAAGAATAAAACATGAAGGAGCTGATAGGGGAGCAAGAAACATAAGAGACTGGTCAAAACTCTTGATAAAACCCGTGGAACTGAGTGGAGCGAAATGAAAAGGACCTTTACTACCTTTCCACTGCAGGCTCCGATTCTTTATACCAATTTAACTTTGTTTTCGAGGTGGTTTATGAAACAATTTTCAAGGGAAAATAAAGGGACTAATATGTTTAATCCTCACTTTCTATCTGCTGTCAGTGGACTGGTGGAAGGACAAACTTCTTTAATGTTTTAATTTAATTTACTCAGTCAACAGGAAATGTATGACATTAGTCATGGTTACCACATGTAGTGTAGTAGTGGGGCCACCTGCAGCCAGTCATTGGCCACCACAGTGGCCACCCCTTAAAGTGGATTATTTGCTCCTCTATGGTCCAACTCACCACCTCTGGAAGAAATAGTTTCCCTATTAACCAAAAGGGGGCAGCATATCCTCTAAGGTTGAATGTCCTAAATAACTGAAATTAAAATTAATTCAATCACTGTACAAAAAATCTCTAAAAGTGTTTGACCAAAAACCTAATTCTTTCCATGTATGTAATATTTTAAACAAGTACAATCTTTTAAATTTTGAAAATTTTATAAATTTTAAGTATGTGTGCTTCATTTATAAAGCGCTGCATGGACTAGCCCCACCTCCTGTGTCTACTCTGTTCAAACCCAAGACTTCAAGTGGCCTGAGAACCAGGGCCTCCTCCAGAGGAGACTGTGAGGTCCCTCACAGAAGAACAACTTTTGGTCAGAGCACTGTCTCTGTGAGAGCCACTAACATCTGGAACAGTCTTCCTCTGCACATACGGGAGAGCCCTGAACTGATCAACTTTAGAGCTCAACTCAAACCACAGATGAAAACAAACAAGTCATGTAACCACTAAACTCTTAACATTTCCTTGTGATGCTTGTATTGTGTTTGTATGTTATATGTTCTTTCCTATGTATTTGCCTGCCTAGGGACTACGGATGAAAACTAGCTTTGTAGCTATAATACGGCATATTTACATTTGTTTTTATACTGATGTTCATTAATCTGCATTGTCCCTATTCAAATAAAAAAAAAAAAATATATATATATATATATATATATATTGTAGGTATATTAATCAAAAAATGACTTCAAAAATACAGTCATTAATCCTTCATTGATAAACTAACAGTAAAGATGACAAACACATGTGCTCTTCTCAGAGCTAGTCTTCTGTGTTTTATGAAGGAGAAGAGAAAATTATGTGTTTTCCAGTCATCTGGGGGTTTCAGTAATTACAGCCAAAGAGCAATTCCTCAAATCATTATTTGTATTTCCTCAATTCCTTGATTTAGAGAGCATGCATTCATAAATATGTGAGTAGGCAAGGTCCACATGGAAATATATTCTGTTTTCAATGATTAATGATGGATTTTGTTCCAACTTATTTTCCTGCTGTTACAGAGTGAATAGTTTACTTGACCTTGAACTGGTACTACCACCAGTTTTCAGGCCCTCCCCACCACACACTGGTCCCTGCCTTACCACCCCTGTAGACATATTTTGGCTCCACCATTGCTTCTGTCTAAAAGCTGACATCTTTAGGCAGCAATGAAGCTACTGCTGATGAGTTGCAAAAATGTAAGCCCCAAAAGTAACAAGAGGGCATAGTAATAATTTAACTTTATTGATCTCACATTAGAAAAAAATTACCTCTGCATTAACTCATCCCCTTAGGGCAGTGTTTTTCAATCCTGGTCCTCAAGGCACCCTGCCCTGCATGTTTTAGATGTTTCCCAGCTTTCACACACCTGTTATCAATTGAATAGCAGATTATCAGGCTTTGCTGAACTGCAATCATCTGAATCAGGTTTGCTGAACCTCAGAAACATCCAAAACATGCAGAGCGGGGTGCCTTGAGGACCAGGATTGAAAAACACTGCCTTAGGGAGCAGTGGGCTGCCACCGTGGGGCGCTAAGGGAGCACGAGGGCGTTAAGGGTCTTGCTCAGAGACCCATAGTGGCAGTCTGTGGGAGTGGGGCTCGAACTCAGAACTCCGAGCTCTATCCCCTAACCACTCCCCTTAACTTATAATACAATATATAAACAGGATCATAATAGTTAAAAAGAATATCAGTTTATTAAAGTGTTTTATAAAACAAACAGAACATAAGATAAAACAATACACTTTTAAAACACTGATAACAAAAACCCAACAACAATCCTGTTCAAGCTATTCTCATTATGAGTGCGTATGAAATCGTACGAAAAGTTACGCACCGTAATTTCGTACGTTTTGGACGTTTTTTTCGTCGTATGAGCATGCGCATCTGACACACCATTTACGAATCTAGAATATAAATTACAATTAGCCCTAACCCTGACCCTAACCCTAAGATATAAAACAGCAAGCAACGTAGTTAGAGACATGAATAAGTGATGATTGCACTGTTTTTCCCAGTTTTACGTCCGTCCGCGGATCTGCTTTTTTTTTCTGTCTGCCAGCGCATGCGCACTGATGTGGTTTTTTGAGGAAAAACGTCCAAAACGTACGAAATAGTGTGCATAACTTTTCGTACGATTTCATACGCACTGATAATGAGAATGTGTTGTCCTGTTAGACATGTATAGAAAACTTTGTGAAGGTAGATGTAGCACATGCATATTGTGCCACATATCTAAGCAGTGTCAATTTTTAGGGTCTGTGTATTTCATAGACTGCATTTCAATGCAGATGGCTTCACAGTTAAGTGATGTCTAAATTTTTATGTTTATGTGTGTGTAAGTGCTAGATATGCATCTCTTCCTTGGAGGATCTTGGTGGAGAATCTGGGTAGCCTAGACAGATGGAGCTCATCAGGCTCATCAGAGTGCTGGGCTTTAAAGATCAGCACAGCCTTCACTCAGAGCTGGTATCTTATTGTTTTTATTTCCCCCTCGTCTCATCCCTGATGTTATCTGGGTTTTTTGGTTCTCACTATTTTTGTATTTTGCCTCTCTTGCCTTTGACCATCAATTAAATCAGCAAAACTCATCTCTGCCTACTCATGCTCATACTCTGCATTTAGATCCCCAAAACCTCCACCCAACCTGACATTTAATTCCCCAGCCCATTGAGGCTGTCAAATGCATCCTTCTTTACCAAGCTTTGAAGTTCTTTGCATTCCATTATTCAATGTGGGCCAAAGTAGATCAAGTTAACAGAAGGTGCGACAAAAAAGCAAAGATAGTGTTGAGTTTAAAATTTGGTATGTTAACACCTTCTGGAAAATAAAACTGACAACCTAGCTGTGATAACCTCAACATTTTACTTAGTTTATCATATATACCACCTAAACACAGAAACGGTGCAATATTTTCAGAGACACCACCTTGCCAGCCTCGCTATACTTGGAAAAAAATGCCAGATTACCATCACTTTCCTCATTTTCAAATGAGTGCTAGTCTTCATCTATGAGTAGAGTGGTAATATAGATACTATTTCATTTATATAAAAAAAATTAAGTTTTTGTTATCAGACAGAAAATCAAAGTCTTGCCAATAAAATTAGATCAGAGCTCTTCATTCAAGCACCATTCTTGCAAGTGAGAACATAACATCACAATGGTAAATGGCCTGTACTTCTATAGCGCTTGCTTGAGTCAGAGAACTTGACCAAAGCACTTTAACTACATACAATCATTCACCCACACAAACACACACAGATGGTGGGAAAGTCCATTGTAGCCACAGCTGCCCTGGGGCTCATTGACAGAAGCAAGGCTACTGTACACTGGCGCCACCAGTCCCTCTGACCACCATCAGTAGGCAATGCAGGTGAGGTGTCTTGCCAAAGGACAGAACAATACTGAAAGCCAGTTTTCTTCTCCAGTTGAAGGGGAAACTCCTACACCAAACACCATGGTCACCCCACAATCTTTCTGCCTGTTCTGGTCAAACAGGATTTCACTACTTAAGAAGCACAGTGAAGGATTCTTATAGACAAAGTAGACAGTTTTTGACAAACAGAAGATTGTTGAAATAATCTTGAATATAAAGGAGTCTAGCCTCTTACCAATAAAACTGAATAACAGCATCTGGGACATCAGCAATGTAGGTCCCACATCTAGCCTTTTCTAGCTGCTGCTCTGCTTGAGTGAATGTTTTTCTAATAACAGAAACAAAACAAGCTCACAATCACAGGTATTAACTAGATCCCTAGTAGGAATAGAGTATGGAATATTTTTTTCTAGCTTTATAATCTTATCTATTCTTTTATTTTAATGTTTTACCAGAGAGCCGTAGAGTAAATTGTAAATGCATACAAACCTATCTTTAAAACATGTTTGCAACGACCGCAAAACTGCTGGAATACCACAAGGATTCAACAACAAAAAAAAAAAATTGGGCTCCATTTTACAGCTTGACAGTTCTGAGGTAATGCTCTGCTGATTCCTAGGTGACAAAAGTTAGGCTAAGCTTAAGACAAGAACAGCTGGTGATGACTAGACCATCCAATTTCACAGCCAGTCACTCCCACCCTTAGAGATCCCTACAGAATTTGGACTTAGCTCTGGTATTCATCAAGTTC